ATTATATACTTTGTTCTGAACAAACAATTGAATTCATTTACACTACTTTTATGTTTAATATAGGCATTTTGTGAAATACTATATGTTGTTAGTAAAGAATATTCTTCACATGATTAAATACTAAATATAAAACGTTAAGATATCCAGTACACAGTGATGAATGGCTATGAAAGATACCTGTGTATTCTTTATTCATGATGAAACAGAACTAAAGTATCCTATAATTACATAACTACGAATTGCGTTATACCAATACGTTTGGCATGAGAGCGCAAAGAAAATCACACGAATCTACTAATATTTGTAAAATTCAAATATTCTCTTGCAGATATATATATTTACTTTTTACCAACGCAGGGTGTCCGATGTTATTCGGTTACGGCATTTTACGTCTTATCTAATAGAAACTGTAATTTTCAAGCTACTTTGCATGCCCCCTTTTTAGCACTTACTAAATGTCCTATGGTTCATTGCTAGTGAAAATGTTCCTTGGAATTTTTAACGTTCTGTACGGAATGCTGTTTTATGTGCTTACTATATGCAGAGCGAAAAATTGAAACTCTGACTACGGTCTGGTCGGATATCTTTACGAATAACTGTTACAATATTAAATACGTTAACAGGCTTGGCAAGAGTAACGAGTGATATACATGTATATGTGTGTAGTTATTAAGCGGGTATCAATGAATGAGACTCGTTTTGCTCTTATGCGCTCTATTAGCAGACAGTCGCAAATAAAACCAAGTCGTTAATGTTTCCATTACAACTATTCATAATACAATTGTTACCAATGCGTAAGCGTAGGGAAGGTATCGTAGATGATGTACGAAACGTGAAGATTATTTGTAAGTACATGTCGCGACAACGAGGAAGAGTAAGATCGTGTACAAGTACATACTTTTGTACCTGTAACTTCGGAAGTGGACCGAGTCGGACGAGCGAATGTGCAAAGAGAATAAGAGCTGGCGTAACAGAGAAAGATAGAGCTGATAAGTGCGAGAGAGTGAGGGAACGAAAGAGAAAGAGAGAGAGAAGATTAGGCAACGTGCGCAGCATGATTAAGAAAAGGATGGTAGAAAGGATAAAAGACAACGTTGCACATGCTCGAAACGAATGAGACAGAGACAAGTTAAAAGTGAAAGCTAGAAAGAGAAACGATGAAGAGCGAGAGTGAAGCACGAGACGAAAAAAGAAAGATGCTTCGGCAAATGGCTATGACATCAAAAGCAACAAAGAACTTGAAAGCATTGAAATGAGAGGTTGAGGTTACCTGATGCATCGTTCGTTGGAAGATCGGTAACCACGTTGACCCGTGGCCGTGCATGTGATTGCTGATCCTGCTGCTGATGCTCCTGCTGCTGAGGTTGCTGCTGCTCTTGCTGTTGCTGTTGTTCCTGTTGAACCTGTTGCACCTGATGAAGAGTTTGTTGTTGAGAGTCTGTCACAGGTACATTAGCGGCAGTGTTGTTTTCGATCAGGATAGTTGGTACCGAGGAAGAGGAGGAGGACGACGATGATTCCGTAAGGGCCGTCGTGGTGGTGTTCTCGAGGGCCGCGTGGCCCCCACCGTCCCCTGTCCCCATAGTCATTCGGCCCTCGTGCATTCCAACAGACAGACAGACGGGGGTCCCTCCTCTTGCACGCCTTTCCTGAGCACACGCACTTCTCTCTCGAAATACTTACACTCTCTTATGCGTCGCTCGCTCTCTTTCTCACCCCCGTCTATCTATCTGTCTCCGTTCCTTTTTCTGTCTGACAGACAGCAGAGCGCGATCGTTTCGTTCTTTCCTTTTCTTTTTCCCTCTCTCTCTCTCTCTTTCCTTCGCTCGTATCCCCGTATACGTCTACGTCTGTTCTGTCTCTCTCCTCTATGTCTCTATCCTTTTCTTTCTCCTCCTAGTGTGCGCGCGCTCTCGCTGTCCTCCTCTCTTTTTACTACTACGCTCCCCGCGCCGGCCAGAGCTGCTTGAGCGTACCGAAACTACACACCGTCTCTTTCAACCGAACATCGGTATATCACACGACAGCGACATCACACACAGTCGCGAAAAAATGAGCCCCGCATGGATTATTAACCTCCCGTCCGGCGGTTCGAAAAAAATCGAACGTTAGACAAATGTAGGTCTGTAGGCCACTTCACTTACACTTTGCATTGGGACGGGCACTCCCTTAGTCAAGCGAGAGTCTGGCGCACAGTTGCGTTCTGACAACACGAGTTCCAGGGATGTGCACTTGGTACCGGTACCCAACACTGATCTGATCTACTGGTACCACACGCCGAAATCGCGATATTCTTATTATCAACCTCGAGATAATTACTGCCATCGCTGTACGACATCTATTACACACACCTTCCGGCCAGAGTCTTTTTTTTCAGTTCCAATGTGACGTAAAATTATATCGATCTGATGTTAACGGAGGCACGAGAATGTAGACACTACGTTTATTAACTTGTAGCTCGAACTAAAGATTTTTGTGTTTCACTTCCTCTTTATTTCATCATTAACCGAGCAGTTGATGGTGCGTTACGTTCATCACAGCGATATGTATTAGTAAAGTGTAAGTTATGATTCACCATTTCCATAAAAAATCTTGTTACTTCCCAGAATTACTAGTGATTAAATTAATAAAGTCCTAACGCATTAAATTCAAATGATTGTTTTTGAAATCACTTATTCTAAAATGTTCAATGGTATAAGCGTCTTTATCTTTAACATAAACTTGCACGAACGAACTATTGGTCATGTATTTTGTACCCGGTTCTATGGTTAATAGGCACAGTGGTGAATAACGAAAGGGAAACTGTGAACTATACCGATCTCTCGTAAATGTCACATAATCTAGAAAGAACTCGGTCAAATACAGCTGTATGTGCAACATATAAAGTTTCGAACACGGAAATAGTCTCGTAATTATTTACGTTTAATTGTACCACGTCGAACAGCAACAAAAGGGAAAGTAATTCGAGAGGAGGAATGCATCGAACATGCTTTTATGTGGGTACTAGTATTTGCTAGTCACGGCACTGTCTTCCAATAATGTATCACGGAAAGACGTAATTTCCGAAACATTTCCCTGTCCTCTCGCGTTTGCGAGCATTCAGATTCTGCAAATTGAGAAGCTGTCATACGCGTTTTTCGTGTTACGAGTGTTGTCGATTTACCACCGCCTTAAATACGACTATATCGCCTAAGTAGGTCAGATGTCACAATATCTGGACGCCTTATTATGGGGCGCTTTTACACCAATTGTTGCATAACCCGCCACGCACGACTTCACCAAATATAACCGTGTAAAAACTATGACCTGACGGACATAATGCGATGTAATCCCTTTTCATTGTACAATACACTTGACTAACGCTTTCGGACAAGGTTCGCAGCGTCATCTAACATCGAAAGGCGCGCAATATGAAACGTTACACTTCGTCAAATAATGAGGCGAATCTTACAAAATTAACAAATTGTAAAATTTTTATATTTAACGATACATCATTTTCCAACATACGTACAAAGATTATAAAAATATACATGTGATACAATTTGAACGACCGTAAATGTATGTATAAAACAGTATTAAGTAATAATACAAGTAACTTCATGTATTGTTAATTGTAAGGTTAATTAATTTAGGGACATATTTAACTGTATATAGTTCAGTGACCTAGATTAAGGAATAAAATCTCATATCTCCCTTTCGCTGGTAAAATTATGCAGTCTTTTGTTTAGCTTCATTGAGCAAGTGACGAGAGATTATTAGTCTCTGTATTTGTGCGGTACCTTCGTAAATTTGATAAATTTTCGCATCTCGCATCAGTTTCTCTACTGGATATTCACTATTAAATCCAGCACCTCCAAATATCTGTCAAACGTTTCGAATATAGATGAATTATAAATCTCACATTTTAAATTAGTCGAATTCACGTTTACATACTTGAACAGCATCAGATGCGCATCTGTTAGCGACATCGCCACCATAACATTTGGCGATGCTTGCAAGCATCGTAGCTGATGGCAAACCACGATCAACAGCCCATGCTGACCTCATCCATGCAAGTCTGGCTGTCTCGATGCCGATTGACATATCTGCGAGCATAAACGCTACAGCTTGGTGTTCTGCTATCACTTTATTAAAGGTTTTACGTTCAGTCGCGTACTTCATAGCTTCGTCTAACGCTCTTTGAGCTAAACCAACAGACGAGGCTGCCACCTATAAAAAGAATAAATCGTAATGAATAAGCGCTTTCTAATTATGATATATTTGTTTTCCAATATTTATACTGCGGTACCATAGGTCTCGTCTTATCGAAAGTAGCCATAGCAATCTTGAAGCCTTCACCTTCTTTGCCCAAAACATTTTCTTCTGGAACACGAACATCTTCAAATGTTATCATACGTGTATCCGAGGCTCTCTGACCCATATTAATTTCCTTTTTAATCAGAGAAAACATTTAATTCGCTTTAACAAATAGAATAACTTAGCATTAGATGAGATACTATTTTAATGAAAAGAACATTTACTTTACGACCGGGGGTCACACCTTGGCTGTCGCGTTCTACAATGAACGCTGTAAAAGCTTTACTAGCTGGAACTTTTGGATCGGGATTCGATCTTGTTAGTAGGAAATACCTGAAAATGAATGTAAAATATATATCGAAATAATAAATAATTAATAATAGATTTATCATACCAATTGGCAACTCCTCCATTTGTTATCCACATTTTCGTTCCATTAATGATCCATTCATTTCCTTTCTTTTCAGCTCTTGTTTTAATACCTGCTACATCTGATCCAGCACCAGGTTCAGTCACACAATATGCCTAATACATTAATAAATAAAATCATTTTTGCATTGTGAAATCACGCATATATTGCGATGTCCAATCATGAACTTGATTAACATACTGCAACAAGTGGTTCCTCTATGAGCCTTCCAAGATACTTCTTATGCTGTTCTTTTGTTCCAAATTTGATTATAGGTGCTTGCTACAAAGAAAACGAACTGTAGAATGGAGAATAGTTTCATAGACTTAATATAAAATTAAACTTACACCTAATCCTGTTCCTTCTAGTGCAGTTGCTATCCCTGTACAACCATATGCAAATTCTTCTCCCACTAAACAGCCATCAAAAGTGCTAATCTCCATTCCTCCTATACCAATAAGTTTATACATTTATTACATCTGTCAAAAGAACTGTTTTCTCGTAAACAAGGTATACCGCAATATTGAGGAATATGTTTATTTAACAGGCCCAAGCTCCATGCCTTCTTGATGATATCCCATGGATATTCTCCAGTTTTATCATATTTGGGAGCGGCTGGGATAATCTCTTCTCTTGTAAATTTACGCGCTAACTCCTGCATTTCTTTTTGAGTCTCGTTTAATTCTAAAACAAATGTTGAACAATAAAATAACATGAATTTTCTTACTCTTAAAGATATGACTGTAATACTATTTATTGTACTAACCAAAGTTGAATCCATTAGCAAATTCCGGTTTTGATGAAAATGCTCGTGTCGTCTTATATGACACATTTTTCATTATCTAACAAACATATGTTGCTGTGTAAAACGTCACGTTTAGCTTATTAAACTATCTGCATACATAATTACCATTCTAATCGTTTTGAGCCACTTATAATATTATCATTGTAATTAACACTTTGTATAAATTTACTAATATATTACTTACCGAACGTAAAAACATATTGATGCTGCTTTGTTTCTTCTATCAGTTTAAAATACGTGTAATGGTTACTAACTGCGAACTTTATTAAACACCGTTTAAACACAGATTATAGTACTGAGTCATATATAACACACTTTTATATGCTTCGAGATCTTCAAAGATAAAATTTGTACTCGTAAACTTGTACGTAAACTTATCGTAGCTACTTGGTGCTCGCTAAATACACGAAATGATTATTATTAACCAGCGACTAAAGTTCATTTACGACAGTTTTACGGGCCAAAGTACACGACAGTTATTTATGCTGCATAAATGATTGTTGATCGCTATTTACAAAAAATCTTGCTAAATCGTATGTCATATAATGTATGATTAAATATATTTTAGTCTTCTTAGTACTTACTTATATATATATATATATATACATATATACAGAAATGGATTAAATGGAACTGTGGAATACTCAAACAAGATATATTCGTATACATATATACATGTGATCTTTCTGTCAAACATAAATCTTTTTATTTCTTTGTGAACGTGTTGTAACGTAGATAAAAAAATACGTATGTACGCGCTATACTGCTGTATGTGATAATACACAAATAAGAAACGCACAAATTTAAATTTTACTTTGTGATACCTATATATATTTATCGGTATTGACAATAAGTAGCCGGTGAGCAGTAGGCTCAACGAGATAATATTGCATGTAATGATTTAAATTGTAATATAGAAAAATGAATAAATCGGCCAGTCTCTTTATTCTCGATGGAGAGCTGTGTTTGATGATCGGAGTTACTCAATTTCTCGTGTGAAAAATATAATATGAAATTAAATTAATACATGCGGGAAATTAATAGATCTAGACATGTCAACTTCACGTTTTTATCAATATAAATATTGGTGGTATTGACAAACGATTGTCAAAGCTCTCTCAGTATGAAGATAGAAATTCATCCTTTGACAAATAATCCTACAGCTGCTTGGCGTGAATTGGCAAAGGAACAAAAAGTTATTACAATAAATACTAAGCCTCCAACAACCGAAGCACCAAATGATAAAGTAAAATATTTACGTTTAATATTCTCTAATCATAAAATAGTTTTTATATCTAACCTTAAATCAAAATTAGAAAAATGTATGTAATACACTGTTTATAAAATTTATTTGTTTTTTCAGCTTCGTGTTGTTTGTATGAGTGACACTCATTCATTAACTCCATTCATAAAATTTGACATACCTATGGGAGATATCTTCATACATGCTGGAGATTTTACAAAGTGCGGTAGTTTGCAAGAAGTCATAGAATTTAACAATTGGATTGGCAAGTATAAATTAAATAAAATTATCCTTTCCTTTCTGTCTATACTAATAATTATATACTATTACAGGTAATTTGCCACACAAAAATAAAATTGTCATAGCAGGCAATCATGAGCTTAGCTTTGATCCCACATTTACTCATCCCTTTTCTATGCAAACTAGTGGGGATCGTCATAAGCACACAGGAACCAGCATCCTTGACAATATACCTACGTTGGGAATGTCCAAGGATACTCTTGCTGAGGCAATACAAACTGCTAATGTCAAGGATTACTTGACAAANTTCGTATACATATATACATGTGATCTTTCTGTCAAACATAAATCTTTTTATTTCTTTGTGAACGTGTTGTAACGTAGATAAAAAAATACGTATGTACGCGCTATACTGCTGTATGTGATAATACACAAATAAGAAACGCACAAATTTAAATTTTACTTTGTGATACCTATATATATTTATCGGTATTGACAATAAGTAGCCGGTGAGCAGTAGGCTCAACGAGATAATATTGCATGTAATGATTTAAATTGTAATATAGAAAAATGAATAAATCGGCCAGTCTCTTTATTCTCGATGGAGAGCTGTGTTTGATGATCGGAGTTACTCAATTTCTCGTGTGAAAAATATAATATGAAATTAAATTAATACATGCGGGAAATTAATAGATCTAGACATGTCAACTTCACGTTTTTATCAATATAAATATTGGTGGTATTGACAAACGATTGTCAAAGCTCTCTCAGTATGAAGATAGAAATTCATCCTTTGACAAATAATCCTACAGCTGCTTGGCGTGAATTGGCAAAGGAACAAAAAGTTATTACAATAAATACTAAGCCTCCAACAACCGAAGCACCAAATGATAAAGTAAAATATTTACGTTTAATATTCTCTAATCATAAAATAGTTTTTATATCTAACCTTAAATCAAAATTAGAAAAATGTATGTAATACACTGTTTATAAAATTTATTTGTTTTTTCAGCTTCGTGTTGTTTGTATGAGTGACACTCATTCATTAACTCCATTCATAAAATTTGACATACCTATGGGAGATATCTTCATACATGCTGGAGATTTTANCAGGTAATTTGCCACACAAAAATAAAATTGTCATAGCAGGCAATCATGAGCTTAGCTTTGATCCCACATTTACTCATCCCTTTTCTATGCAAACTAGTGGGGATCGTCATAAGCACACAGGAACCAGCATCCTTGACAATATACCTACGTTGGGAATGTCCAAGGATACTCTTGCTGAGGCAATACAAACTGCTAATGTCAAGGATTACTTGACAAATTGCACTTACTTAGAAGATTCAGAAGTAGTAATACATGGAATAAAGATATACGGTACCCCGTGGTAAATAATTATATTAAATGCTTCATGCACCAACTTCTTGAGAAAATATCATTTTTTTATATACTTTAGGCAACCGGAGTTTTGTAAATGGGCTTTTAATGTGCCTCGTGGAGAAGCGTGTCTTTCAAAGTGGGAAATGATACCATCTGATACAGATATTCTTGTAACCCACACACCTCCCGTAGGTCATGGTGATCTATGCTGTAGCGGTGTAAGAGCTGGATGCGTTGAGTTACTTTCCACAGTCCAAAATCGAGTAAAGCCAAAGTATCACGTTTTCGGTCATATACATGAAGGTATGTCATTTGGAAGTATCTTTCCTTCTTGCAACTTACATACTTTCCCCGTTACAGGCTATGGTATCTCCTCTGACGGGAAAATAATATACATAAATGCATCAACATGTGATTTAAATTATTTACCAAGCAATCCACCGGTAGTCTTTGATATAACATTGCCAGCAGGTCATTCTAAGTCATAAAAATCTGGGGAATAAAACATTTCTTACCCAGAACGAAATGCATGAATATATAGGGAATAATTAATTTATTTATCTATGTATTTCTATGAATTTTTCTACAAATTATGTGTTCATTCATATTAGATACGATCTTATTTGATAGAACGAAAATTACAGGGAACACGTAAAAACTGATAATTTTACGGTATTCGCTTTAGGATATTAAAAAANAACCTTCGCAAAAATCGATATTCAAATTATAAAATCTTTTTATGTATTATATACCTTTTAGTAAAAATTTGCATAATTTTATGTTCATAAAATTTTTGTACGTGCTGCAAACTAAATTGTAAATTAAGTTAATATGCCTATTATGTCATGTGTGTAAGACTTCTACCTACACAGTTCCATCAAAATGTATCGCATTGTAGCCATGAAATATGTACGTTTTAGCATTATCTTAATGACATTATTTTCTTAACGTATGAGAAGAATTTCTTTACAGTCCGATAATTTCAATTGTATTGCAACGAATGTTACGTAACGATTAATTTTAGTAGTATATAAACAGTTCGAGTATCATACTGCAACATCTATACGCCGTAAATTAATACATGAAAATTAACGGAACTGAAAGTCGAATTATTGAGAAAATAAAAGTACTCGACGATAATTGCTTTAATTACACATACATAACTTGTAATGACATAATCCTTATCGGTAACACAATAAATCGTAATATTTAAATGAATTATATAGTGATTATGCATAAAAAATTTTCCATCGTAATAGTAATAAAAACTTAAAATTATCCTTTTATATGATATTTATTATAATATATATCCAATTCGTTAACAGGTGGCACTTCTCATTGAATTAAGAAAAATCTGCATGTAAACAACATTGTACTTATATTGACTTATAATTTCGTAATATATTGGTCCAAAGCTGTGAGTAGACACTTTCCTTTTAAATGGGAGCATGACCATTTCCGGCAAGAGAATTATGTTTGTATAAATAGTGACGTCTTTTAAAAAGTTGTGGTAGTAAAAGATAGTCAATAAAGATTCAATGCCTTTCTGACATTAATGTCCTATTGTATACAATGTAAGAAACAGATGTATCAGAACATGATTATTACTTATCAGATCATATCAGACTTGTAAAAAACTAGTTTCGACGCTTCGTCTTACCAGTTGGAAAATTGTACACATACATATTGCAATTTTTTTTACATTTGGTTGTAAAAAATGAAATATGCCTTTAAGATGCAATTATATTGCATGAATACCTCCTTGAGCCCGTTGCAATGATTTCTTCAGATTGTATGGCAATCAAAGATCAAACAATTCAAATTAACTAACAGAGGAGTCACAGGTTCTAAATGGAACAATGATATGATTCTGCGTGTTAAATAAGCTTAGCAAAAATTTAGGTAGTTTTATCGCGAAGCTTCTTGTTTATATACCTATATTACTTATCAACTTAGATTTCTTTCGAAATGGGTAGCATAATAGTTATATGTTATCCATTTAGGGTGTCACTACCTACACGCGTCTATCAAAAGAAAACGTCGGTTTTTAAATTAAAAATGGGACGTTATTGCTTATCCCAAGATTGCTCTCATGGGCAAAATCAGTTAGTTAAACTAAACTAAAAGTAACGGTAAGCGGATGTAAAAAGATTACACTCTTCTTACACAGCTTTAAAAGAGTACATTATCAGGAAGATTTGCATCTAATACGGTACATTCGAAAACAGGTACGATACAGATTCACCGTTGTGAGTCCTTCTTACAGCCTCAGCAAACATCATTGATACATCGATACACTGAAAGATAAAAAACAAAGAAATCATTATAATTTATTCCTTACTTCACACTTCAAATTTACGTCTTTAACAAACGACTTTCCTCGCGGCGATTCGAACAACTAATACGCGTGCTAATATTACGGATGGCTCAACAAAAGGGTCATCGGATGTCGAAACGAGAAAACATATAACATAATATTTAGGTTATTTAAAATCGTATTTATATTAATATCACAATTTGTTTACCTGTATCTTTGGACAGTCTTTCATATGACCATCTTGAGGAATTGTATTTGTTACTACCACGGCTTCAAAGCATGCATTATTAATCCTGCTAATTGCCGGACCACTAAAAATACCGTGTGTTAAAATTGCATATACTTTTGTCGCTCCAGCTTCCAACAATTTCTCTGCGGCATGACAAATAGTGCCACAAGTGTCAGCCATGTCGTCTACTAAAATAGCAACTCTATCTTTTACATCTCCTACCAGTACCATACTGGCAACTTCGTTAGCCTTTTTCCTTTCTTTGTGTATAAGAGCAAATTCAACGTTTAAGCGATCAGCAATAGATGTTACTCTAAATAAGATCCAGTGTAAGATGTATGTTTTGTTAAATAATAAATATTAATTCCATCTTGATTGCTTCTCTTTAAGTTACCTTTTAGCACCTCCAGCATCTGGAGAAACAATAATACTGTTTCGCCATTCAACAATATTTTCTTTAATCCATTTTAAAACTGCAGGCTCGGCGAACAGATTGTCAACTGGAATGTCAAAAAATCCTTGAATTTGACTAGCATGCAAGTCCATAGTGATAATATGATCAGCTCCTGCTACAGACAGCATATTCGCTACTAATTTCGCTGAAATTGGGGCACGGCTCTGTAAAAAAAATAATTGCCAAAATTAATTCTACAATATGATACGAGTCTCATGAGTCCATTTGCAACTGGAAATACCCTGTAATATGAAAAAAAATAGCCATTAAAGTTTGTATAACATTTTGAGAGGGTACATAAGATATACAAGTGAGGGGATACACAAATAAAAATATGTTTTCTTTTCTACGAAAAACATACATCATATGTAAAAGAGATAAAACATTTGAATTTTTAGAGGGGACAAAATATGAATACAATGGCTATGTATTGAAAATCCAGTAAAAATATATCGTATGTGTATACATACAAATAGAGAGAGAAAGAAAACAGTATGTTGCAAATGCACCCCGGTTAGACTCAACAAAAAGAAATGTAAGTAAAGCAAAATACAAACTTATATGTATTAGAGTACAGAACACAGTGCATCCTAATTTCGGATAATAATATTCGAAAACGTCCAATGAAACATTTCGGAAGTTTGAAACTATAATAAATATATGTGAAAAATGTCCCGATTTAGTAGGTATGACGATGGAAATTTATTGGATGAATGCATAGTGCTCGGAAATTAATGATAATCGTGTAATCTTAATAAGCTTATCTATAATATACATCAACTTTCCACTAGCTAAGTTATCATTCTAACAACAAATTTTATTTGCAGATTTTATTAGCAGCACATTTTATGACAAAGATAACACAATCACAGATTTCTCAGTGCGCTACATTGTTATTTGAGTATGCATTCTTTGATTAGTATATGGACACCAACATTTTTAGCGACAAGTAATTAGTACCCGTTTAACATACAAATGTATACCCCATTATACGTATGTAGATTATTAAAAATGTATGTAGAATGCTATTATATTAATATTTTGCCCTCTCATTCAGGTATCAATATGCTCTGATCAAATATTTCATTCATTCATTCATTCACGGGGGAACCATTGTGCTGTACAGCAACAATTATAAGTATTTGTTAGTCCTACAAAGAAAATTTTGTAAGAAACTAAGAATAATATTATACAAGTCGAATTTTTCATCGAGTTATAGTTACAAACACTCGACAATCTTATTATTTCATATACTCACTGTAGAGAGGTCGGGCAGAAAATCCTGAAAATACCCAACTATTCAGAAATTTAGATACACGTGTTTTAATTTTATGACAACAATAATTCTGATAATATGTCTATTTTTATTAATATGATTACTTTAAGA